ACATAGATGGGAAATTGTGGATTCGATGTGAGATCTGGGTTCGATTCCCAGTGAGAGAACTCAGGTAAAGATGGCGATGTTTTTTTTGTAGACTCTCTCCCTCTGCTTTTGGCCTTTTGAAACCAGGTCTCATTGCAATCAAGTAGGTTAGGATGGTACCTAGGAGGGCGGTGTGTGTATCCATATTGCAGGTGTGACACGACGACCTTTCTCGAGCTCAGAAACTCGGAGCTAATACTGTACGTTTTGTAACTTGAACGTCGTTGAACGGATTACTCGTAGGCTTTGTACTTGTACAAGTGGTATGGAGGTATGTAAAGAGGATATACCAATAACCGATAACTGGGAATCGAATCGTAAGTGTGTAAGCATTCGTTATGTCGTGGGGACTAGCATTCCCGCAAAGTAGAAACTCCTGTCGTCCTCCGCATCGTCAACCTCATAATCACCTCTCCCATCCAACCCGTTCTCGTTCTACATCTTGTATGGTATCCTTATCCTCATCCCACATCCCCATCCTGAAATCCAAATCCAGATTCGCCCCAAATTCACGCTGCACCACCCTCTTTAGCTTGAACGACCAACACACCAGCTCCAACACCCGTAACCACAAACGCACTAGCCACATCACCCAACGTCTTTCTAACATCATCGCCTAACGGGGTTCCACTCATATTTCCTCCGTGTCCGTGTCCATGTCCATGTCCATGTGGGGGTTGTGGTTGTGGAGACGTCGATGACGACGCCGCGTCAGGCGGGGAGGTGGTTGTCGTAGTTGTCGCGGTTGTAGTTGTAGGAGGAGGAGGATGGGCAGGGGAGGTGGTGGAAGCGTATTCATCCATCAACCCACGTAGTTCATGATCGTGGTTCTCTACTGCTAAGCGACGAGATCGACCGGTTACGATGATAAGTCGACGTTCTCGTTCTCTATCCCCCGAATTAGGTTGATTTGTCCGTTTGTTGTTGGCCTTTGAGGATTTGTCTTTACGAGCTTTCGCCGTCTCAGTTCCAGTCCCGATGTCGGCGCCGGTGTTGGCGTTGGTGTCGGTGGGGCTCTTGGGTGATTGGGAGACGATTTCGGTGAGGAGAAGACGACCGTGTTCGATAGCCGTTTTGAGAGGGGTTAATCCTATGGATTCTTTGAATTCGATACGAGCAAGGGAAAGGAGGAGTTGAGATTCCCATTCGGATTTGGGTTGGACGATGGGAGGAGGGGCGGTACTCGTAGCATCAGCGGCACCACCAGAGGAGGAAGGATGGGAATGGGAGGAGATAGCGGAAAATCCATGTTGTTTGAGAGCGAGGCATTGTCCCCATACGAGGTTATCTGCAGATTCGGATTGCATACGTGTTTCTGTGGTGAATTGGCCGTAGACGGTGTCTCCGAAGTTTGATATCGCCTGGTACCGATACGGTATGAGGACATTAGCTATATAATTATGAGAGGGAGAAGATTGAAAGACGTACGGAGGTTACAGTCATTCGATTTAGGTCTTCCATCTTATTCCCATATTCCTCGTCGTCGTCGTCATCACTGTCCCCTTCGGTCTTTCTACCCTTTGCTTTGATGCTTCCTTCGGCTTTGATAAATCTAACGATGGTTGCGCCGACGCCTTCTCTCATACAAATCTGGATGACCATTTCCAATGCCATACGATCGTCTGGACCACCGAAGAACGGTAGGTATAGATGTTGTCTGTGGATATATGCGTCAAACCCCGTATAGATTCCAAAGACTCATCGACTTACCGCCTCGGAACGACTCCTCTACCAGCACCATCTCCGAAATCCAAAACATTCGCAACACCATTCTTCGTTGACCTCCCCGTATCCACAAATAGGGCTACGTCCTTTGTCTTTCCGACATGTGAGAATACACCACGTATAAAAGCTGACGAATATTGAGTAAGTTGACTTGGGTGTTGAGGACGTGTGATGGTTGTAGGTGAAGTGGGTGCGTGGTGGGTATGTTGGTTTCCCCAGAAAAGTGCTTCGAATGGGTTAGGAAGACGATGTGGTTCTGGGTGATTTCCAATGGGTGTAGTTCTACCTGTTGCTGGAAGGGAGTTTGCAGCGCTCTTTGGTTGTGGGTTTGTCGTCGTGGTCGTCGTTGCTGGTGGTGATGTTGGTGTAGGCGTTGTTGGCGACGCAGGATGGTGAGGGTGTGAAGGAGAACCCCCGCCGATACCCTTGAGACCCCAAGGAACGACGATGAGATCGGTATCTTCTCGATCTGCCCATTCTCCAACGGTCCAGGCCATATCCGCTCTTGGAACAATCTCGATTCCGTTGGTGATGACCACCCCGGAAGAAGGACCGGTTGCCGTGGGGTTATCAATAGAAGGACGGTGATCGCTGTCAATGTCAACGTCAACGTCATCCACGGGCTTCTCTGGGGAAGATTGAGAAGAGTCTCTTCGTCCGGTGGCTTCCGATGGTTCGTGCGTTGAAGACGAGGACGACGATGAACTTCTCCCTTCTAACCCGATGAGAGCGACGAACATCCTGAACACCTCCAATAATGGGTCGGCGTCTAGTAGGAGCATGGATATGCTCGACTTCATGA